AAACCGAGCCAAAACCGAGAAAAACCGAGCCAAACCGATTTGAACTGGTGTTCCCCTTAAAAAACAGAACCGAACCGAACTGAAACCGGTCGGTTTGACCCGGTTTCGGTTTTTTTTTTTTTTAAATTTTTTTTTCCGTTTTGGTTACTTTTTTTGATAAAAACCGAACCGAACGGAAAATGAACACCCCTATTAGAAACTCATAATAGAATGACCTTCGTAAAAATATGTTTTTAATTAATGATAATTTTTAAATGTATATTAAGTTCAATGATGAGTTCCTTCCAAATCCGGGAAACTATGCAAATTTTTTTTAAGAATATAGATATTTTTTTATTTTTTTAATGATGCTTTTCTAGTTTATATATATATATATATATATATATATTTCAAGTGTTTTTTTGTGTAGTATTATTAGGATTTTCTAGTTTTTTTTTATATAAAAAGTTGTATAAAAGAAAAAAATTAAATATTTTTGTTGTCTCCCTATATTTATTTTGATTTGGTTTTTTAGGGTTTTAAAATGCAAGAGACCCTTTATCTTTTGCTCTTTTCTGTATTAATTGATATCAAATCCCAACAATTTTTAATGATTAATTTACTTTGTTGCATGCTACAAAACAATAATGATTGTAAAACGTTGAAGGATATAATGTGCTTATGTAAGAAGGGGTTGGTAACTACCTCTTTCAAAGAAAAAAAAACATTCAGGAAATGACATGTTGTTTTTATTTCCATTTGTTATTGTTGTTTTAAATTTTAGTAGTGAGACTCATAATATAACATATTATATAAAGATATTATATTAGAAACCATAATGAGGTGATTTAAATGTTCTTAATGCATGAACTTTTTTTAAAAATGATTTTTTTCTAGTTTTTTTATTTTGAAGGGAATATTTTTTCTAATTTATTTATTTATTATTATTATATTTTTTAGTTTTTTCTATATAAAAAGTTATAATAATCTTTTGATAAGTAGAGACTTAAAAAAATAAAAAATAAATATTTTGATGGTGTTCCCTTATAGTGCCTTTGATTTTTGAAGATTTTAAGATATAATAAACCTTTTTAACCTTCGCTTTTGCTTTCATTTGCATCAATTTTCTTGGCTATATAGATACCAATTATATAGACGAGAAGACAAGAAGTTTAGCATGCTTATGGAAAAAAAAAAAAAAGAAGAAGAAGAAGCAAAAGCCGAAAATATATAAAAGATGACAAATGTTTTGGTGATATTTCCTCTGTCAAGTTGATTAGTCCTCTGAAAACTTTGCTTTTAAATAGAACCAAGAAATTAAATAAACACAGACAACCACACAACATAGAGATGAGAAAAAAAAAACGTACGGGATGAGATAAAATTTATCTAGTTTTTAAAGGTCATTTGCTAGAAAACCCCTTCAATTAAAGGTATAAATCTCCCTACAAATATCGTTCTTCGTTGATGACTACACAACAGCCTCATTATTCTTATTACAACATTCATCAAAACTTATCTGAGCCATCTTGAGAGCCTGGCGACGAGTCTCCGAATCCGGAAGCAGTACCTGACTCGAAAAACTGGCCGCGCCGCGATGCTTCAATCTTCCTCTTCTTAGCGTGATAGCTCATATGCCCACCCAAAGCATTTCCATTTATAAAAGATGCTTTGCAGATAAAGCATTTATGCTTATGAGCGCGACTTGTTTGGGCTATTGATAGAGACCTTGGAGTTCTCCTGAGAGGACTTCTAAAATGGCCTGACAAGGTTGTGCTACCTAATAATTCTTGTTTTGGTTGCAAATGATGGGCATCAGGGAGCTGGATTTCTTGAGCTTTTGACGACAGGGAGGTATTCATCAAGCCTAGAGACAGTGAAAGATATTTAGGCATATTTAGATTGGTTTGGTTAAGGCTGTCCAAATTTGCCAGAAGGATTGGTTGGTCAATTCTATTATTAAGGATGCTAGGGTTTTGTTGGTAATTGCCCATGACCATGCTAGAGCCAACATTCAATCCAACCAAATGATTCCCGAGGCTTTGAGCATTTCTATCAGTTTTGAATGTTACAACACTATCGCTATAGCATGGCGATACATATTTCAGGATTCCTGAAAATTGTGTTTCATGATATTTGACATGAATTGTTTGACTCGGGTAGTAGAAAGGTGGGTTCAAAGGAGTAACACTAGGGGTTGGAATGAGACGAGGAAGAGATTTTTGGTTTCTCAAGGCGATGAATTGATGGCTAGTAATTGGAAGAGAGTGAGGGTTCACCATAGAAGGATTAGTACTGATCAAGCTAGAAGAATGGGGTTGCAGCTCTTCTGTGGCAGTAGGCTTTGTAGCCACTGCTACTCTAGGAAAAGGAGCACACTCAATTTCTGTGTTGGACACAACACCTATTTCGGCCAGTGGTGGATTTGTATGGATGAGAAGATTTTGAAATGATAAATTTGTCGCAGAAAAACTGGCGTTGGACATGTTTGAAAGATTTGGGAGCTCAAATTCTTTGCCCATTGGGATAGCTACATCGAACCAATCTTCAATGTATTGTTTTGGATCATGCTCAACTTGCTTGGCCATAGAACTAGATGATTTTCCTGATGGGATTTTTGTGAGAGAGGACAGGCTAATATGTGATCATAGATTATCACCTAATCAATACACAGTTAAATACACACTCTCACACCATTACTTGGCCACGAATTCATTAAAAGATGCAAGAACAGTAACAATGGAAAGTAAGGTGTTGAACTAATATTTTGCTGTGGTTGAAAAGAAGAAGAAGAAAGAATCTGATATATCTTACTGGCATGAGAAAAAATTTCCATGCATGGAAATGGGATTGGTTGTACTTGGTCATATATATAGCATGGAATTCAATTTTTTACTTTCTTTAACTTTTTTTTTTGGTGTATTTCTTTTTGTGCATTTTATTTTTCACTAATTTTTAATATAAGAAAAAAAATAAAAAAAATAATTAAAATTAACTATACAATTAATCCATTTTTTTATGGTGCGTGTCTGGCCATGTATAAAATTAAAGTCCTTTATATATATATATATTTGATATATTTAATATTTAATATGAAATGTATTTTTATACAAAAAAAATTTTATTACTATAATTTAACAAAATAATATTTTATATTTTTCTAAAGTTAAAATGAAAAATGTTAACGCTTAATAATATTTGAAAGAATAATACTTTTTGAGCCAGTCTTGTAATTTTTATTTAGAACTTTTATAGGTGGTTTAATTTGTACCATATATTGGGTCAATAGGCCTTGAGATTTATGGCTAGGCCTATTTTGAAAAAATAAATAAATATGAAATTTTTAAACACACGAAAATCCTATTTACTAATTACTTTAACATTTGAAATTCATGTTTTTGGAACTAGAAAATACTCTCTAAATTCTTCATTTTAAAAAACTACCCGCTAAGTTTTAAAAACAAAATCTTGTATGTTTTTTTTTTAAATAAAAGTTTTATTTCATCGTTTACTAAAACAATAAAATATGTCTTGGATCATAGTATTTTAACGATACCTTTTAGGGTTTATATATAATAATAATAATAATAATGCTTTATCTATTAATTGAGAATAATAGAAAGCTTAATCTATTAGTTAACCACTATTTTTTTTCTTCATATGTAGGGCAATGTATGGTAGTTAATATAGAGTTTACAATTCATGATTAATAAAATTTTTCTAAACATGTACAAGC